TCCAGCGGGTCACTAAGCCCTGCGTCCAGCGGGTCACTAAGCCCTGCGTCCAGCGGGTCACTAAGCCCTGCGTCCAGCGGGTCACTAAGCCCTGCGTCCAGCGGGTCACTAAGCCCTGCGTCCAGCGGGTCAACCCATCTGGACCATATGGTTTAAAATTTGCAGGGACATCTTCTAGCTTTATAGGCGAGTTGTAAAGTACAATGAGCTGCACTAATGTATCCCCCAGAAGCAATAACTGAAGGTTACTACTGCAAACAGTTGCAAGAATGGGGCATATTCCTCCATATCAGCATTATTTCCAGTACTTTATAATTGTAAGGTCTCATGAGCAGGATCCTTCTAACCCTCTTGTCCTGAAGTGCACTGTAACTGTACCGTGCCGCTTTATTTTGTAAAGTACTATGTTGGCGCTATATAAAACCTGTATAATAATAATCATAATAGTAATAATGCGTTCACATTTTCCATATTTATAATACAGTGAATGTGTGATCAGCGTTTGACACCTGGAGGATGCTCAATGCATAGCAGGATACTAAAATGTAGGTAAATTCCAACAATTAATTTCTCTTATTTGCTCCCTTGGTATGCTACATATACCACTGAAAAGTGTTTTGTTATATCTGTTCAATAACTGTACCGTGTTACTGGCAGGAACACCAGGTGAAAAAAAAAAGGGTACAAAAAAAAAAAAAAAAGCCGAACGAAAGAAAAAACACATTTATCCTCCGCATGGGAAGCTGCATTGTAAATAAAAGGTTTGTTCTTGGGTTTGGATGCACATTTCGGCCGTTCTCTGAACACAGGCTCAGCTGTCATTTTACTTGCACTGAGGCTGTGTTCAGAAGCCTTGGTAAAAAAAAAAAAAAAAAAGCCGAACGAAAGAAAAAACACATTTATCCTCCGCATGGGAAGCTGCATTGTAAATAAAAGGTTTGTTCTTGGGTTTGGATGCACATTTCGGCCGTTCTCTGAACACAGGCTCAGCTGTCATTTTACTTGCACTGAGGCTGTGTTCAGAAGACTTCTCATGATCACTTCCTCAGGTGTTCTTTGTTTACATAAGCTGAGGCTGTAATGGTAGAATTTCTCTGAATACAAGCTGAGGTTGGTTATAGAACTACTTCAGGACACAGCCTCAGCAGGTGTAAACAAAGAGCACTAAGGCGGTGATTGGTAGCAGATCTACAAACAAATTTGTATCCATTATTTACTTGCCCTAAGGCTGTGTGCAGGAGAGAATCTGTTTGTTTACATTTGCAGAGACTATATGCGGAAACATTTCTCTTGCACGCAGCCTCAGCTGTCAACAACAAGTAAGGGAGTGAGGTGCGTTCGGCCGAAAAGAGAAGAAATGACGCGACCGGAAGTGTCCGATTCATCTTGTATTTCCCTTGCCTATAACTCTATACTCTGATAAAAAAAATATTTGTTCAGAGGAGGCAATGGTGTGCACACATTTAAAAAATAAAATATATTGTTGTTTTTTTTGGCAGGGAGTCGGAATGTGTACACGTTTTTATATTTCAAAATGCCTGCCTTGTAAAAAATCTCCACTTGCCAAGATGCATTGCGGTAGCTAGGAATGCACTGATACTGGCTATTTCCACAAGTACTATTACGTGTGACAATGCCTCAATACTAAGACCCTGCACCTGCCCGCGGAGCCCTGGCCAGACTCTGCACCCAGCCCTGGTGAGCAACACAGAGTATGTAGCTTCATATTATTCTGCATTGCTGTAAAATGTATTGGTGGGATTTGTAGTCCCTCTACAGCTTGGAGTCAGTGGCAGAACTATCTGGGGTGCAGAGTTTGCAGCTGGGACCGGGCCCTGATGCTCCACCACCGTCTTAAAACCATTAGCCACAAAAAAAAAAAGTATTGGTAATTGGTAGCAGTACTACCGATACTTGGAGGAAAAGTATCGGTACTTTGTCAGAAAAAAAAAAAAGGTATCGTTGCATCCCTAGCGGAAACTTTTTCAAGAAGGTAAAAACGCATAAGCAGGTATGATATCGCCATCCTGGGGTGTGGTGTCCATAGCGTGTCCACATGTCAGTTGCTTTTTTTGTTGCAAAGGGCCAGACGTTTCATCATCTACCAGACACTTAAAGGTTCACTGAATATTTAAGTCAAGGTCTCCAGCTTTGAAAAGATGAGACATTTCCAGACACATTTGTCTATTAGGTATTATATTCATCTAAAAGACACTATAAAAGCAGAGAATGGACATTATATTACACTCACACGTTGCCTTCAAGGATGTCAGAGCTTCCGTCGTCGTCCTCACTCAGATGGACTGTGTTGGAGGGTGGTGTCCGAATGAGGAAAAAAAGAACTGCTCCAACCAAGCTTATGACGGTGAGGGCGATGAACACAGTCCTGCGATCCCGATCTAATTAGGAAAGAAAAGGCTTTGCTTACAATCAATTTGAACTGTCCAAGTACATTTTTAGGTTATCTTAACATAGTCTTTAGACCTTGCTGCCAAGACTGGCTGGTATGCCATGAAGATGAACTTAATCCACCAATTGAATGTCTCCTAAAACAGCTGCTTTAAGGTTTGCCAGTGTGCTTATTTCAGCTCTCAACCAAACCTTCAAGCCCTCAATGGCTGGTGTTGTAGCTGATCACGTGCAGCAGCAGCATGGTAACTGCAATCCAAATAGAGGCCAAGATAGCACCTTCCTTGGCTGTAAGGGATAGGAGGTTGTAGTTCCACTTTAATAGATATTTGTGGCCCTTCTTCAGTTATCTAAAGCAATCTTTTATACACAGCAGTGTGCGGGTACATAGCAATACGTTTTGAGTAAGAATGGGTTAAAACTATCAGGTTTTTTTTTTTGCTGCCTGTGTCCCACTGCAGAGATACCCTTCACTTCCTGTTCTGGTTGTTCAACAGGAAAACTCCCCTAAGTAAGGGCGATTCCCAGATTAGTTTACATTGGAACATGTGTCCCAGCTGATAATAGGAATGTAGACCATAAACTGAACTTCCCCTATTTGCTCTCTTCTGATATGTTAAATATACAATTGAAACCGTTTTGTTATCTGTGCCATAGGTGCATAAAAAAACCTGTTGATCCTTCTAGAAAATGTAACCCTTACGCTGCCAATTACGTATGCCAACGCTGGCAGCAGGCCCCTGTAAACAAACTCCCAGCGGCTATGGGCTCTGGGACTGTGATTACCTGTGTAAAGCAGACTGTCAGCTTTACAGTGGAAGTGATTCTGACGCTGAGCTGCCACCAGATTACTTCCAGAGGCCGGTGATGTATGCCCCGCCCCCCTTCTTGCTTCCCGGGCTCTGCAGCCCTACTGCGGGCC